TATATATATATATATATATATATTCATGTCATATTTTGTTCAAATCATTTTGTTCAAACCATTTTTTTTTCAACCATATTTTTTTCAAAAATGAAAAGAAAATAAAATAATCGAAAAGTTATATCTTACCAATAAAATTCTTGTACGTGTTCGGTGTGAAAAGTTCTTTTGGTTTATAATTATATGAACCTATGGTTAAAAATAGTTTCACATCAGGTTTTTTCTTTAAAATATCTGAATCAATTGGCAAGGCATGATTTAATTTATTGCCACAAATTTGATCTGGAAATGAAACATTGCAATTGTTGGCTGCCATATCCAATACCTATGTTATATAAAATGTTTTGTTATAAATTATTTTTTTAATAACTAGAATTGCTATGCTAAAAGAATTAATGATACAATAAATTTTTAAGTATATTAAAAAAACATCATTACATAATATTTCATAATTTTCTTTTAAATAATTTTATAAAAAATGATTTATTTAATAAATAATCTCTAATATAAGATCTCTTAATAAGTAAAGACATAATAATAATAACAAAAACGAGAAAACTCTTGCTTTAATTCAATTATCATATTTTAGTTTTATTTTATTTAATTATTTTATATAAAATAGCGAAAAGGAACTTACAATTCCAGAAGTAAGAGGATTATCATGAGTAGGTTCATCTGTGTATAATGTAGTTGACGCTCCTTCATATTGTAAAATGGCTAATTGTTGCACACGATTATGAATACATTCATCTAATCCACGAAGTTGTATCCAATATGCACCAGGTTCTCGATCGGTATTAATGATAAAATCGTATCGTTCCCCTATAAGAATTTTTTAAAAGAATAATTAAATAAACAGAATTTAATTTTATGCATTTTTATCAACATCATACCAGCAAGAGAAACTATAGAATCAACTACTTCAGGTTTTAAAAATTGACCATCAGAAGCAATAACGGTAAGATTATGATTTTCGACGATTAACTCTGCAGCACAAGAAGTACAAAAAGAATTTATGAAACGGAAACGGTAACGTTGATTAGCATCTACAGTAATCATTTCAAAAGGAATATCTGTTGTAACGCCACTGGAATCCTATAACACGTGAAATTACAAAAAATTTGAAATTTGAAGTAAAGATACAATTCTTTAATTAACATTAATATTTTATAATTAATAATATTCTTATTTTAGTCATTTATTGGATAAAATCTTATAATTAAATATATTTTTTATTTTAAAAAATAAAAATATTCTTACTATGAATCTTCCTTTTCCATTGATTAAGAATGAATCAGCAATTTGTCGAACCGCACCAGCTCTACGACCTGGAAATCGAGCTGTAGACTCTTCCTTGAACCAGTCATTAGCAATAATTATATGATTTGCTAAATCGAAGTCATAAAGATTCGAATAAAGTTCATTTTCGATTGATTCTCGAACAATGAAACTACCAAATATACCATCTAATTTCTGTGCTGCAGTATGAGCATGCCACATATGAGTACCATAGTTATTAGCAAAAAATTGATACCTAAGAAAAAATTTTTCATTTAAAATTATTGACAAAACTTCTATATTCTATGAATATAGAGGAAGAAAAAGATTAATTTTTATTTGATAAAATTAATATATTATCTTGATTTTTGTTTGTAATGATGATTTTGATCATATTTTATTATTTTATAATAAAATCTCATCAATAATTATTCTAGTAAATAAATTGTAATATTCTTGTTTTTAATTTCCTTAAGATCCTATAAATTATGCAAGATAAAATAATTAAAACAAAGTAATAGATGATTAATAATACCGCCATGTAATACTTTCATATTTTGAAATACAAAATATTCTTTAATAATTAAAAATCATTTCAAATTTTTTTAATTTAAAAAATTATGTCAAATTTTACCTAAACGTATCGTGCATCAAAATCGGACATTGTGTCAAGTGTGGAACACCATCATAATGAGGAGAACCTTGTTGGAAAATACCATGCCAATGAATAGTCACTGAATCTGAGGCTAAGAGATTAACAACATCAACAACAACATAATCTCCTTGACAAACTTGTATACTTGGACCTGGTATCATTCTATTGACAGTTAAAGCCATTCGTTGTGTTCCATCTCCAGGAACGCATTGGCAATCGGCGCATAAGCTATTTGTAATGTTCGGTATGCATAGATTGCATGCGCTAGAAATAAGAAATTATTTCTTAAATAATAGCTTTTTAATTTATTTGTATTATATTACTATTATATATTATAAAGAGTAATTTTTTCATATATCTATTATACATAAACTATGATATATTTAAAATAAAATAACAAACAAGAATATAACTTCTTAAACAACAAACTAATTAATAATATTGTTCATAATTGAAAGATTACCGATAGAAAATATTTTTAAGATATTCAATTTTTACTTAAATGGAAGTTCAATGAATTTTTAATTAATTTGATATAAATATAATAAATATAATATGTAATATCCTCGATATATTACTTACTAGCCATTAACAGGATAACGTTCAATCACAAATTTATAATAACATGTTTTTGAATCTCCTGTTCTACATGTACGTGCACATTCGATAGAATTCGACAAGAAAACATTCTGAAGAAGTTCATCATTTAAACAATTTGTTTCATTAATGACTGGCATGCCACATATTCCAGGCGAATAACCCGCGATAATAGATTTTGCAGTTACATTCTGATTTACTATTAAAAAGTTGTATTAAATCATTTATAAAACTCTTTAAATAACTTTAACTAAGAGAATGGAAAATTATTGTACATTTGAATTCTGATTTATAATGATTTTCTAATTAAAAATTGTAAAAAAATAGTAAATCCGATAATATTTAATTTTTAAATTTTTTTAATTTTATAAGCAGATGAAAATAATGAATTATCTTTTCGAAAAAAAAAGAATTCATACCGGTGAGAATGAAGAGAAAAAAAAACATTTCTTGTATAATATTCATTATAGGGAGACAATACAAATTGACCGCAAAATTTAGAATTCATATACAATGAACAATACTTACTTTATAATACAATTCATTATATAAATTTATTATAAGATAAGAGATGATAAAATAAATCATAAGATTAATATTTTTTCGATACATTTGATATTTGATTTCGTTAATAACACTTTATGTGTATATATGATAATAAATTAATATAATAAAACAATATTGCTAATAATAAAGTACTTGCTATATGCATCTATAATAAAGAAAAATAATATCTTTTTATTGCATCAAAATTGTAAATATCATACATGTAAATAAAATAATGAAATTGTAATCCGATTAAGTAATCCTTTTTTTCTATCAAATCGTGGTGTATATCGATAACAAAAAATTTTGTATGAATATATTGAAAAACTTCCAATGAAGTTAGAATTTTTAAGATTGATTTGATATTTTTTATTAAATATTATAATGCATGCTTAATTGTTGCACTTTTAATTGACACAGAATTCTTCTTATTAATCTTTGAAATTGTTTCTAGAATAGATATAGATGTTTTTTCTTTTTTATTTCATTTCTATTTTTCTAGATTTGTGTCAATTAAGTTTGTTACATTTAAAATATAATAAAATAATGAAAATATATATATATATTGATTTATAATAATATAGATTGTTTATTTTTATAAACAATTGATTGATCGATGATTTTAAGTCATTTGTATTGATATAATAATAAAATAAAAATGAAATTTTTTATTCTTAAATAGATTGTTCTAAAATTCAATTTTTTATTTATAAAAGTATTTTTAAGTATTTGAAACGAAAATATATTCTAATATTAACATTTTTCATTCAAAATTTGCTCACACAATATTTTTCCAATTGTAAGTTACATACAATTTTAAAATATGTAGAAATAACTGTTTCATATCTTTTTATTATTTTTGTATTAATAATATGATTTTAATTTTTATTTAAATATCTAAATATAATTCTTCTATTCTTGATTACTTTTTATTAAAATTCAATTTTAATAATCAATATTTTTATAATGATATATTTCCAAATATATAAATATAATTTTTATAAAAAAAAATTTATATATAAAAAAATTAAAACTTTCTAATCTTAAAACAATTTTTTTTATTTTTTAATATTCGTTCTTTAATCTATCTGATATCAATCTATATATATCTCTCATATCTTATATCACTCATATCTTATTTATGAAACACTTTTACAAGAAATATAAGAAGAAGAAGAATTTTAAAATAAATAAGATAATTTTTTATCAATCTCTGTTAATATATCAATAGAATAGAAATATTAGATCAACAGTATAGATTTTGTTTTTTATCGTCATGATGTTTTATCATGTATTAGTTACAGTTTTAATTATTGACTTCGTAGTTACTGGTAAATTTTCAAGAAATTCAAGAAATTTGAAATAGTTAATTTTTAAAAAATTATTTGTTGTTTTAAATCTAAAAATAAATTATAAAAATATTTAATTATATAAATAGTATAATGAAATAATAATAAAAGTAATAAAAAAATTACGTTCAAGTTCTTATTTTAAATTGAAATTACATTTGTAAATATATAATATTTAATAATATTTTTAATAGTGTATTTTTGATTTCAGGATTTGTAAGTCCACGTATAGTGGGTGGTCATGATGCTGGAGATGGTGAATATCCTTATCAAGTATCAATTAGATTAAATAATTATCATATATGTGGTGGATCTATTATTGATTATTATACAATCCTTACTGCTGCGCATTGTATTTATCGGTAAACCTATAAGAAAAAAAATTTGCTTTAAAAATATAATAATTAAAAAATCAATTTATGTTATGTTAAAATTATTATTTAATTTTTTATTAATCTTATACTTATAGAAAAAATGCATCAGAAATAACAATTGTTGTTGGAACCAATTATTTATCTTCTGGTACTATTTATGTCGTTAAGGAAATGATTTGGCACGAAAATTATAATGAAATCATGATCATAAATGATATCGGTTTAATACGTATAAAAAATCATATAAAATATAATAAAAAAGTTCAGCCGATTTCACTTGCATCGAATTATACATCTGAAAATACAACTGCTGTGATAACTGGTTGGGGACAATTAGTAAGTTTTTAAAATGTAAATTATATATATGAACAAAAATAATTTTTTATATGATAAAATATAATTACCTGTAATTTATTACTATAATGAGTAATTTACAAATATTAAAATATTGAGCTTTATTAAAATGTATGTTAATTTTTTTACAGAATAAATTAATATCTATAATTCCTTATGAATTGCAAGTATTAAATGTGACTATAATATCGCGAGAAAAATGCGAATATATATATAATAGATCAATGAAAAATAATATATGCACGTTAAATAAAAAAATTGAAGGAGTTTGTATGGTAAAAATCTATTATATATTATTTAAATACTTTAAATAATGAAAGATTTTGTTATGCTTTGCAATATTTCATATATTTCTTTTTAGTATGACCTCAACAGAATCAAATTTTATAAAATATGAAATTCTAATTTCTTATTAAAATTCCATAGAATTAAATTTTTTATGAAAAATGTTTTATGATTGATATTTATTATTTTTAATATATAATATTGTTATTTCATTCTTTAAATTATATTTTCAATATTATATTATTGAAAATGTAAGAGTTGAAATATTAAATCCTTGATCTTAAAAATAACATAAATTTTTATTTTTAATCATTAATATATCATATCCAAACATCATATTTTAATTTAATTTAAATTTATTGTAACTCATATTAAAATTTCTTGTTTTAGGGCGATTCTGGCAGTCCTTTAGTTGTAAATGGCAAAGAAGTGGGAATCGTTTCTTTCGGTGTACCATGCGCAATAGGTTTTCCTGATGTCTATACTAGTGTATTTTCTTATAAAAGCTGGATAAAAGAGAAGATAAAAAATTGGAATGTAGCATCTCAAATAAATCCAAATATATGGATTGTCTTATTAATGTTTATAATATCAATGATGATATCCCGTTTACATTCATATGAAAGTTACAATTAAAAATACGATTAGTATTAAATTTAAATCAGAATAAATATTAGCTATTATATAATTGAAAAACAAAAATGAAAAGATAAATAAATTTTTTAATAATTTAGTTTATACAATGGAAAATATTATAATAAAATTATATTGTACTATGTAATTTATGTATGAACAAATTCTTTTATTTTTATATATTGTATAATTTTATAATAAATGAAAAAGAAAAATTATTTTTTCATAGAAATATATTTATTTATAATATTACAAAAGATATGTTCTTTTATAATATTTTAAAAATAAGATTAAAAAAATAATAATTATGAATTAGTACAATTTAATTTATTAAAATATAATTACAAGATATAATTTATCAAAATATCTATTTTATTATTCAATTTAATTCATTTTTATGTTTTCTATCCTAATTTCAGGCTTATAATTATCATATCTCAGAAAATGGGAAGGTATAGAAAATAAATCATTTTGTTCTCCAATATTAAGAACTATCTCCATATCAATTATTTGATATAGTGACAATGGAATAACCAATATTTTTGAAAAGAAATATCGTTTAATTTTATCAATAATAATAATAAATGATAAATGATAATATTAACGCCTTTATTAAAATATTTATAATATTTATATTTCAAATATTTATAAATATAATATAATATAATATAATATAATATAATATAATATAATATTTATAAATATATTTGAAACATTTTAATTTCATACATTAATTTAAGAGAATTTTACGTTATGAGAATTACGTTAATTTCAGAGAATATTTTTCAGAGATAAATATGAATTATATACCTGGATTATCTGCATAAAACCGAATTACTGTATATCCATTATTCGAAACAGCAAGAATATCTTTGTTGGAAGAATCGAAATTATTTTTAAATATAAATTATTTTTAATTTGAATTTGGGATAAAAATTCTAAAAGAATTATTATTTAAGATTAATTAAAATAAAATAAAATAAAATAAATTAATATTGAAAAATGATATATACAAACATCAACATTTTTTAAAAATTTGTTTTATTTATTGTACACTAGAATTTGCAATCATTTGCGATTTTTCTTGTATTATTTGCTCAGCATGATATACTTTCCAACAAATAAGGTAATCTCTAGTAATTTTAAATAAAGTATAATAGTTAATCAGAAGAAGCAATGTTATTGATAATACTTGATACCAATCAGTTGTGCGTAATAAAATAAATAATTGTGCACACACAAGAAGAAGCTGCAAGCCCAACATTGAGCAAAGTAACATTGTGGGATTACTAAATAAAGCCTATATAAAATAATTATAATATTAATTTACAATTTTCTTAGTAAATTCATAAATGTAATCAAAATAAAATTTTTAATGAGATTTTAATGTTTATCACATACATAAAATCTATAATGATTTGAATTTCCTGGTTCTGCCACAGTGCATAAACCTTCTGAACGATAAATTTCTTTGTTATGTCTAACAACTGAACCATGAGGCCATAACACTGAATCATTCCAGGCTTGAGCATAAGTGTGACTATTTCGATTTTCAATTTTAACCCATCGACCAAGATGTAATGCTGCTCTATGTAAAACGTCACAATACCTAAATAATTACAGTATTCATCAAATTTCTGGAAATGAATTGTTTAATACAACATTCATATTGTACATTCTTACAACAAAAAAATTGTTATAGAACTTATATAATTTATATGAAATATGAATTTATATAAGATCATATAAATAAGATCAAATATAATAAGATCATTAAGTAAGATCATATAAATATATACCTGACAGGATAAGTATGTGTAAAATGAGCACTTATTCTTTCAAGCCAGAACATAATAACATGTTGCACAACCCATGAAACATTAAAATGTAAATGTTGAGGTACAAATATAATAGGTGCAATACCACATACATAAGCACTACTAGAGGATGCAAATAAAGCTCGTTTTAAACGACGATTAAAATCAGATCTTAATGTTGAAACTTCTGCTCTGATTGCCGATGCATTTAATGAACAATTATGTAAAGGTTTATCTGTAAAAGAAAAAAATTATATTTTATATGTATAAATAAACCAATTTATAATAATAATTATAAAAATATAATATAATAATAATTATAGTTATTATTAATATATAAGATATATACCTATTAGAAATTTTGTTTTTTTTTCATCTTTGCTATATAAAGGTATTGCTGATATATCAAAAAAAGGTGCTGCACTTATACCAAACATTACAAAATATACAGATAAACTTCTGAAACAAAGTACAATAAAAATTTCTGATATTTCATATTATATATATATTACATATATAAATTAATATGTATTATAATGAAAAATTATAATTTAATAAAATAATACAAACGGATAACATAAATAAAAAATTTTCATTGAGTTATGTTTTTCAGCCATATGATAAAGACACCAACATAATATATTCATCACAATGATTAACAAGGTTATCCTGTAAAATAATATTTAGAATTATTTATATAAATTTATATATTATGTATTTAATTTATAGTAAAACATACCTCATCATTTTTTGAGCAGTAGATAACCAACGAATTGGTGATGAAATATCAATAATTCGACGCAATAAAGAATAAATAAATTGTCTTGCTACCATAGTTATAATAAATATAAGTAAATAAGGATCTATTAAATAGAAATTCTGAAAAATTAAATAAAAATTAATTATATGTTTTTATTAATATATATAATAAATATAATAAAATAAATATAGTATAATATGAGATAAAAATATGAAAAATGAATTTTGATTTGAATATAAAATAATTTAAATTACATACCATACTATAATTATTATAAGAATGAGGTAACCACCATACAGTTCTATATAAATTAAGCATTTGTAAAGAAGCTGCAATAATTGATACAACTAAAGATAATGCTTCAAATGATAAATGACCATCCACAGGTACAATTGGTATAGGTACATGTTTTGGTACCAATGCTTTTATTCCACAAGGTTCTTCTGATTTTTTATCATCTGCACCACTACCTGCTGTTCTTTCTCCACTATTACTTCGGATACCATTATTTGAAGACATAGTAAAATTAGTTTGAATTTTAGCTTGTCCATTTCTACTAGCTGCATTACGTCTTCCACTAGGCATAATGTATGAGTTTACATTTCAAATATTTATTCTAATTTATTTTAATTTATTATTGCTTTTATATGTGTCTAATTGCTTTTAAATAAAAAATGGTTTTTATAACAACATAATTGGATTTAATAGTTACTAATTAACAAAGTTGTATTTCAATTTATATTTTTGCACAATTATAGGAGATATAATATTCAAAATCCATATATATATATTATTTATATATATGTATATAGAATATAATTTTTATTTACTTAAATTTATATATTTTTACATATTTTTAGTTTCTTTTAAGAATATTAATGTAACATTATTTTTAATAACAAAAGAAATACATAAAAAAATCAATAATTCTTTATATAAAGAAATTAATCGATACAAGTGTTTATGTTTTTGTTTTGTCCACAAATAAAATATATATATATATAAATATACATATATATATATATAGGATTTATATATAGAATTTTACGAAACTAGGATCTTACTAAGTTTGTAAAACAAAATAGAATTCCTGAAGTGAATGATGATAAATACGATAATAAATAGCGCACTCTATACGGAAAGTGAATAGATTATAAATTTGATTAAAAAAAATATATAATTATAAATATTATTAATTTATTTATATAACTAAAAT